CTTCTTCTTCTTCTTCTTCTTCTTCTTCTTCTTCTTCTTCTTCTTCTTCTTCTTCTTCTTCTTCTTCTTCTCCTTCTCCTTCTCCTTCTCCTTCTTCTTCTTCTTCCATATTGGAGATCGCGTTGGCGATCCTATTTTTATCCACAGCCCGCACGAAACGCTGCTGCTGAATTTTGTCCAAAATGGTCCCTTAAATTTTGAAGCCTTGATGTTCTTCTTCTGCCTGGACCTCGTTTGTCTTCAATCTTTCCCTGGAGGATTAAGTGACGTAGGCCGTATTTTTCCAGGTGTCGCATCCCATGTCTGAAATATTTGAACTTTTGCTTTTTGATAGCTTTGATGATTTCCCTTGGCTTCCCCAAGGCAGCTTATCACCTCCTCATTTCTGATTTTGTCAACCCAACTTAACCGCAACAGCCGCCCATAAATCCACATTTCAAATGCTTCTAATCTCTTCCAGTGTCTTTCTGTCCGACACCAACTCTCCCCTCCGTAGAGCAGGACAGAAGGGAAGGAGGATCTGGCTGGCCTGATTTTCAACCTCAGGCTTATGTCGTGATTGCAGGAGGCCTTTTTCGTTTTGAAGAATGCTGCTTCAAGCTTTCTCTATCCTTGTCTTTACTTCAGGGGTCCTGTCATGTAAATTAGAACCGAGGTATGTGATGCGTTTCAACTTTTTTTGAAACCGTGGATATCATAAATATCTCTGGTTCATGAGCTGGGGGCAGATGGAAGCCATCTCACGGGGACATGGCAGATAAAAGGGGTTTGCCAGTCCACAGTTAAGCGCAAGTAGGAAAAAGGCCACCATTTGCTTCATCTTATTGGCATTTGGTCAGAAATCTCTTGCTCAGGACGAGCATGGAAATTGGATGCCAATGTTTCCCTTGGAAGTTATACCTCCTGGAACCCAGCCAGGTGTTTTGGGCGGTGTGGTTGCCTAGTTATATAGAAGCAACTACATTTTCTAATTTCCTTCTTGTTTTTTTTTTTTCAACAGTTGAGGTCTGTGCTGGGTTCCTGCAAATCTTTCTATTTCTCCAGCTGTTTGAGGCAAAGGAGGTGCTATTTTCCTGAGATGAAACTTTGCAGAATTGGAAGAGTCCTTCAAAAGGTGGACCACTGTCGATTTCGAAATCTTCTGAGCTTCCAAACGGGAAAATATTTTAGCCTGAGTTCTGGGAGGCTGGTTTTAGCTCTCCTCAATGTTAGCCCTCGTGGTGTGCTCCAGATGTGCAGAAACTTCATTTCCCATAATCCTTTGCCAGAAACTAAAGCTAACTTGGAGAAGCCTGCTTCCGATTCAGGGGGGGCTCTGATCAATAACATTCAGCATGTGAACTCCTGATAGATAAGATCCATGAAACTGGAAAATACTTTTGATTGCTGACTCAGCAACACCTTTGTTCATCGTGATCAGCACTTTTTGGTCTCCAGATACGAAAGGGATTTTGAACTTTCTTTGACTTCCCGCCTGTCTTTTGAAGCCTTACTGCGCGTAAATCTGCCTTTCGGATTCTCTGCTATCCACCACAGCAGATACAACCTCTAAAATAGAGACATTTTGCTCCTGCCTCAATAAATGGTTTTATTCTCAAGGTTTCTCCATACCAGGAACTCTCCCATTAACAACAACTGGGGAAAGAAGGCTCGAAATAATTCAAGTGGGTTTGGGGGTCTCTGCATCTTTGCATTGTCTGCTATCAACTCTATCAACCCAATTCCACCCATGGGGACGTTAGGAACTTTACTGATTGCACCAATCGAGCTGTGACGACCCCGGGTGGGATATGAAACAAACACAGTCACAGAAAACAGGTGAAGCCCCTTTTATTCCTTCACTTTGCTTCCAAGCTCTGAATATCTTTGACAGAAGACAAAAACCTCCCACACAAACAGTTACAAGAAGAAGGAAAAACGCAACAAGGTGAGATTCAGCACGACCGGCTGGGAAAAACATGCTGACATTTGGGAGAATCTCTTCTTCCTCTCTTAACATTTCCCTTTCATTTTTAATTCAAAAATATTCCTTGTTGGCCTCTTGGCCTCTTCGATCTACCTAGAGTTGCAGTTTTTGCCTTTGTTTCTTTTTTTGTTTTTCTTTGTGGTCTGTTTTGTGGCTTCTTCTATCCATTTCCACACTTCAGCAAAATCGCTCCTTTTTTTTTTTCCCCACAAGGATGGCAGTTTTCGTGGGTAAATGTCACCACCGGAAAAGCTTCCTTTGGTTTTCCCCGAGTGTTACTCAAGGTTCAAACTTGGCTTGTTTCAAGGCTCCTCTGAGATTGGAGTTTTTCCCCCAGGGGTTTTCATGGGCATTCCAGTGGTCGCCGTTTTTGGTTCATCTATTTCCAAGCAGCGTGCAAACTTCTTTGCGTTTGCTGCTATAGTTCTTGCGTGTTACATGAACTTACGACCTGTAGAATGGAGCCAGGGGCTGAGCCACATGGCAGCCTGTACCCCCAGGTGCCTTCCCATCACTCACTTTTACTAAGCTTGATCTCACCCCAGGAGCACCCCAAGTTCTTTGCATTCTTATGCCACATCCAAAGCTAGAACCAGAACAGGGTATGAGCACCGAGAGAGAACAGCATCAGAAAAATGTGGATTAATAGATTAACAGAGTTGGAAGGGACCCTATAGGTCATCTAGTCCAACCCCCTGCCCAAGCAGGAGACCCTACACCATTTCTGACTGGTGGCAGTCCAATCTCTTCTTGAAAGCCTCCAGTGATGAAGCTCCCACAACATCTGACGGCAACTTCTCTTCCATTGGTGATTGTTTTCTCAGGAAAACTTCTCCTTATTTCTAGGTTGAATCTCTCCTTGTTCGGTTTCCATCCATTATTCCTTGTCTGGACTACAGGGGCTTTGGAAAACAGGTCGACTCCTTCTTCTCTGTGGCAGCCCCTCAAAAATATTGGAAGATGGCTATCATGTCTCCCCTGGTCCTTCTCTTCTCTAGCCATACCCAGTTCCTGCAACCGTATGTTTGAGCCTCCAGTCCCCTGGTCGCTCTTCTCTGCACTCTTTCTAGCGTCTCAACATCTTTATTTATAGTGCAGTGACCAAAACTGGAGTCAGTACCAATTGATGCTCAGCTTCTCTTCATAGGCATTGTCTGAAAGCAAGGTGATGTCCTCGTTGCTGGACTCCTGCAACACCCTCTATTGGGTACTTATCTTTGGAGCATGCTGGAAGCTGTAAAACATGGTGATGACCTTGGAAGGACTGGGAAAGGAATGGAACGCCTGCTGATCTCATAAATGGCAACTCAGCTCATGTGGAGAAAAATCCACGAAGAAGCATTTCAAGTCATTCAAAGGTCTCCACCTTCATGATCTCACTATAAACGAGGGTTGGACACTCCTTGTGCAGCTTCCAAGATTCTGGTTTGTATCTGGACAAGCATTAAAGACCCCTCCCTGAAATGGGTGTAGTTCTTGGTCTTGCCAGCTGCAGGAAGCTTCCCCATGACAAGGGATACCGGTGGGCCAATCCCACCAGCATAAAATAACACCTAACTGAGAGTAGTTGGCTCTAGCGTCCCATCCAAAGGGTGGTTCTTATCTTTAAGTGGTTTTTTTTTAATATCATATGTTTTATTAATACATTTTCCTTTAATAACATAAAAAATTCCAGATCTATCTGAACAGCGTGTTGTCAGAGTACAATTCATTTTGAATAATCACAGAAAGACGATCAATGTAAAAGTAATCTTAATGGGTCTAATATTAATAATAGTTCCGTAGTTAAAATAGCATTAACTTATTCATATATATTTTTTCTTATATGATTAATCTGTCAGCGTTCCAGAAAAGCTCCAATTAAAAACTCAAGAGATAGGCATCTTCTCAAAGTTTCCTTTTATTAGAGTAGTTATACTGGCGCATCTGGGAAAACACAAATCTGAGAGTTCTGGGTTTTCCCTTAGTAACTCAAAAGTCCAAAACCAACCCCTTGCACCCATCAGTCCATCACAGGGTCCAATCACCATCCACCCCAGCTAGAGGCATCCCTTCAACCACGCCTCCTCCAGGTGCAGAAATAAGATGACCTTGACCGAAGAGAAGAATGCTATTATGTCTAACTGCCAACACTCTACAATTCCCTCGTATTTTCCCAGGCACAGGAATGTGGTAGCGTGGAAGCTTCTGGTATGAATATGGCTCCCAAAGCTGACACAATCCTTCTTTTTCCCCCCCCTTGTAAGTTTCTAACCTCTGATTCTGTCTGTGGAGATTCTCAGTCCTCCAGGTCATGGTCATCCCAAAGGTGCTTTTTCAAGAGGCAACTAGACTTTCTGATTTTTGTTTGAAGAAATTCGGCTTCTTGTCTGAGAAGCTTCTTCAGCTCAAAGAAGCTCCTTGGATGAGAAGCGAAATGTCTTTAAAGAAAAACCAGGAAGTCCAGTTGCCTCTTGAAAAAAGCACCTTTGGGGTGTCCATGTCCTTGTTCTCAAGTGCAACAAGGGAGAAGGCAGTTGATCTGAACACCAACACTTCCATTGCCAGCATTTGTCAACAGATGAGTTCCAGAGGGGACCCTAGGATACAGATGGAGAAGTCAAGATGATGCCTCCAACAGTTGAGACTGAAGCTCTACCCATGCTTGGGTGCATCTCATGGGGAACACCATAGCCACCACCATCTTGCCTTCTTTTGACCATACTCTGGAGATAATTCTGGATTCCTACCAACCTCCTTCTCTGTGTCAAGGACACTGCGAGGATTTTCAGTCAATGCCACAAACTCCACAAAAATGAACAATGAAACACAACCATTCTTAAGATTGGAATCATCATCAACTGACAACATTATTATCATCACCATCAGGTTGGTGGGGGTGTCAGTTTTGTTTTCATTGTCCTTAAGAAACCAAAACAAGTAAATAAAACCATTAGACCTGCAGGGTTGTTTGGTTGATAGGACAAGCAGGATAACTTACTGAGGGTGACTGTCTCGTTGATCCTGAAGCTGCAAAGGACTCGATCCACATTCCGGGCATGTCGGAAGCCATTTCCTGTCACCACAACTTGGAAGGACTCTGAAAGTAAAGAGAGATTGTATATTTGAGAAGGGCATTAGAGTTTTTTTTAAATTGATGGGCTTAAGGGCCATCAAATCTTTTTTTTTTTTTTAGTCCCAGCGACCATCTAGATCAGGAGTCTTCAAACTTAATCGCTTTAAGACTTGTGGACTTCAATTCCCAGAATTCCTCCTCCGGTCATGTTAGCTCAGGAATTCTGGGAGTTGGAAGTCCACAAGTCTTAAACTTGCCAAGCTTGAAGACCCTTGATCTAGATCAGGGGTCTCCAACCTTGACAACTTTAAGACTTGTGGATTTCAACTCCCAGAACTCCTCAGCCAGCAAAGTGGATCTAGATGTTCTTCTAGCTGTTCTTCTGATCTAGAGGTTCTTCATGATTTTAAAGTAACTACTGGTTCATTAAAATTATAATTAAATGATAATGCAAGATTCAGGAAGGAACCCTGCTCAGGTATTGTATTTGTGGATTGTTTGATTTTACTTTTTTGACTTGACTTCCAGCTTTCTGTCAACCAGGAAAATTAAGATACCAAGAGATTCTAGGTAGCTCAGAGTTGGCCTCCTTAGGTCTTTTCTGAGCTTGGCAGTTCTTTTGCAGATGTTTTGTTGAACATGAAGATGCTACCTAGTCTGGTAATGAAACATCTGTGAGCAAACCAGCCAGCTCAGAGAGCCCCCAAAATTCCAGAATGAAGCTAACTCTCAATTTTGTTGTTGTTTTTTGGCCGTCATCTTAATTAAGGTCCTGAGAATGTGGCAGAGTATATTTTGGCCCCAAGAGATGCTGTTCTAAGACAAATAATTAGCAGAGGCAAAGATGAATAAGGCTCAACAGAAACAGAAGTCCTCACAGATGCTCCCGAAATCCAAAGTACCAGCAAAGGAGGGGAAAAAAACTCCAGAGAGGTTCCTGAGACAGGAAGTCTAGTCCTGCCAAAAATGTAATAAGGGTTAACGGAGAGGCAGTTTCTGTAAGCAACACCAGAATGTTTCCTTCCTGCTTTCCTTACAGGATTAGGCCAGTAATTTCTTCTAACAACCGGTTCTAGCAAATAGGTGAGAACTGGTAGAATCCCACCCCTGATTACTATTAATCTTCTCATCACTCCTTATCACCCATCCCCTCCCACTTGTGACTGTATGACTGTAACTTTGTCACTTGTATCCTTACAATTATATTGACTGTTTCCTACTATGATTTGATTGCTTATTGTACCCTGTGACTATTATTAAGTGTTGTACCTGATGATTCTTGGCTGCTGATGAACGTATCTTTTCTTTTATGTACCCTGAGAGCATTTGCAGCGAGACAAATTCCTTGTGTGTCCAATCACACTTGGCCAATAAAAAATTCTATTCTGTTCTATTCTATTCTACTCTATTCTATTCTTCACTCCAATATTTATTCTATTCTCTTTCATTCCATTCCATTCTAAAGTTGCCACGGTTGGAGACCCCTGCTCTAAACAGCTTCTGCCCTGCACTCAGCAAATTTTGGTCGGTGCAAGCGGGCTTCCAATGAAAGGGATCGTTGGGGAGCAGGCAAGGACGACATCCAATGCTTTGAAGACCTCGCTTTCTGCTGAATCAACATTATCTCAGATGCTCAACAGCCGCCGCCCACTCGCCGTCTCTCTGAATCCATGCCTTGGGGGCAGGAAGGGGAGGGGCGCGCATCTCCTGCACCATCGCTGCACAAAGCATACGAGTTGACTCAGGAATCTAGGCTCAGCTCCAAGACTCTGCTTGCTTTCATCCCAAAGTCCCAAAGGTGCTTTTTCTCTTCTTCCAAGAGGCAGCTGGGCTTTCTGTGTTTTTCTTTGAAGACGTTTCGCTTCTCCTCTGAGAAGCTTCTTCAGCTCTGACTAGATGGTGGGGAAGGGAAGGATTTATACTCCTTGCAGACAGCTGGTCATTTGCATCCTTTTAGAGGGTCCTTGAGGCCGCTTGGAGGTTTGTCTGTGTCCTCAGGCTCACCTGAGCGGTGCTCCTGGTTCTTGTAGTCTGCAATTTTTCTTCTGGAAATCCATTCCTTCTCCCACACCATTCCAAGGGTCTTCATCCCACATTGTATAACTAAAAGCCTGTAGAGATTCTCAGCCATCCAAGTCATGGTGATCCCAAAAGTGCTTTTCCAGGAGGCATTTGGACTTTCTTGTTTTTTCTTTTGAAGAAATTTTGCTTCTCATCCAAGAAGCTTCTTCAGCTCTGGCTGGCTGGCTGGGATATGGAAGCATTTGTACTCCTTGCAGGCAGCTGATCGTTTGCATTCTTCTTAGAGAGATGTTGAGACCGCTTGAAGGTTTATCTGTGTTCTCAGGATCACCTGAATGGTGCAAATGGGTGCAGAGCCTTCTTGGAACTGCTGAAAGGACTGTGTAGTAGACCGGAGATAGATGATGCCGTATCCTTCCCCCTTTGTTGAGGGAGGGCTGTTCAGGTTTTGACATAGAGGGCTTCTTTGACCCCTTACCCACCATCCAGTCAGAGCTGAAGAAGCTTCTTGGATGAGAAGTGAAACGTCTTCAAAGCGAAACCAGGAAGTCCAGTTGCCTCTTGAAAAGTTTGAGGCAATCGTGACCTGGATGACGGAGATTCTCCACAGACATTTCATCCCAAAGGCACATTAGTCTAAATCACTCCCTGGTTGCAAACTGGTCAACTCCTTCAGGGAAGCCTGTAGCCAGATAGAAGAGACTCCATCCTTTGCAGAGAAGAGGAAGGATCCTCACCTTGTCATTTCAGATTTCACAGATAAATAAGGGTTTATCAAGACAGCTGGTTAGCGAAACGGGAGCGAAGGCATCAAGGACCAGGATCTTGATCAATGGGAAGTTTAGTGACATCCTTGCCTTCATGTGCACAGAAATGAAGCAAGACCAAGAGGTATGCTTCATCCTCCTTTCTCCAGCGACTTTCTTTCATTGGACCATCCTATCTCTAGAGACGGGACCCGGTGGCTCAGGAGCTAAGATGCTGAGCTTGTCAATCAGAAAGGTCGGCGGTTCGTCGGTTCAAATCCCCAGCGCTGCATCATGGAGTGAGCTCCCATTCCTGGTCCCAGCTTCTGCCGACCAAGCAGTTCGAAAGCATGTAAAAAATGCAAGTAAGAACATAGGGACCCCTTTGGTGGGAAGGGAACAGAGTTGTGTGCGCCTTCGAAGGCATTTAGTCCTGCCGACCACATGATCACGGAGACGTCTTCAGACAGTGCTGGCTCTTCGGCTTTGTAATGGAGATGAGCACCGACCCCTAGAGCCGGAAACGACTAGGATCGAGGTGCAAGGGGAACCTTTACCTTTATCTCTTGAGTCTACAGCCTCTCTGGCTTCCCAACAGAGTCCCAAGGAGGACCTCTGAAGAGGACTTCTGTCAGATGCAGAAGACCAGGTGAAGAAGGTTCGATTAAACTGATTTGTTGCTGTAGCCTATGCACAAGAACCTTCTTAACTCATGGTGAGCTCCTGGTTAGAGTTAGATGAAGGTCAACTGAATTCAAGTGGGGAGGAATGTTTGCTTGTGACTGTGTAGGGTTAATCCCTCTTTTCGTTCCACCAACCATGTTCTGCCATATTCGCTTTGTGAGGCCATTTCAGTTCAGGCCAGGAGCACCACTAAGAGGAAGTCCCGCCTAGGAGGAACGGTCAAATAATTTCTTTTTCCTGAAAAAAGTTTAGAGAACTCATCCACCCAATTTCCCTAGCCCAAAATTCAGTGGAGAAAAAAAAACCGCTCGTGCCCAGCTTCAAAGCCTGCCATATTCATCTGAGCAAGAGGAAAGTGAAAAAGGCCTCAAGTGTAGGAGCTCCAAAATTCAATCACCCAGGGATTAAATGTTTCCCAGAAGGGCCATTTTTGCCTTGACATTCTAGAAGGGGTTTAATAGTTTCCCCAAAGAAAATCTTCTGGAAGAGCAGGAAGTATTTTGTGGTGTTTTTCCAGACACAGAGCCATGGTGGGAGGATGGGGAGGAGATGGGAGTGGGGTGGAACTTTCCAGCCTGTTTTGGGATAAAGGTGGAAATGAGTGCAGGAAAAAAAAGAGAGAGAAATAAATGTAGTTGGTACTACTGAAAATCAGCATTTTTGACACTGAATTTTGGCTGCACGAGTATAGGTCCATAATTACAATTATGCAGAGTTGGAAAGGACCTGTAGGGGAACAGCGAGCTGAGCTGGAAAGTGGAGTTAAATGTGTCATGAGTTTGCCACAAGAGATCTAAGTCCAGCCCTCTACCATGAATTCCATTCATCTCAATCCAGTGTCAGTTTACTTTTGACCATCCGTTGACTAGATTATTGTGTCTACGTAGCAATAATAGACTTTTTTTTTGTGCTTTGAACATAACAAACACTCCTGGTTATTTGCACCTGACAGGACCACCGTGATAACCTAGCCCAACCCACTGCAATATGCAAGAAAACTAATTACATCGTTTCAAAAAGTGCCTATCTAGTGCCTTGTTCAAATCCTCCAGCACATTACCTGAGATCTGTGAACTACAGTTTGCCTAAAGTTTTTTGTTTACATTATTTGCAGTAAATTAAAAGAATTGCCTTTTTGACCTCCAACAATATATCTATAAATGCAACAAAGGGTACCTTTTCTGCTTAAACTCAGCAGTTGAAATAATTATAATAGTAGCTTAACTGCTGCAAGATTGCTCGCCCAGACTGACTACAAACAACGGCATGACAAAGTAGCCGCAAATAGTACATTGGAATGCCTGCAAGAAGTACCACTTGTCTGCAAGCAGGAACATAGATAAAGTAATAGAAAATAAAGGAGCTAAGGTGATGTGGGTCTTTAGAATTCACACAGTCAGCACCTGTCACATACCACCCCACCCTTAAGAACTGTCGATAAGAAAGACAAAAAGGAGTCAGGAAAGTGAATGTTGCAGTACCTGGAGATAGCAGAAGAGAAGAGAAAGAACTGGAAGAAATCACGAAATACAAAGACCTGTAAATAGAAGTAGAACAACTGTGGTGAAAGAAAGCCATGGCCACAGGCGCCTTGGGTACAATCCCCAAAACAACTGGAGCACCACTTGAACACCATTGGCGTTGACAAGATCACCCTCAGTCAGTTGCAAAAGGCAGCTTCATTCGGAACAGCTTACATCTTGCAACAGTGCCGCACTTTTAACTCTACCCAACTATAACATCTGCATTCTCGAGTCGTTGGGAAGGACTCAGTAGGTGGACAAAAACGCCAAACCCAGCCTAATCGTGGATATGGCTGGCTGCCCATCCAACCATCGTAATCATAGCAACCACAGCAACGATAACAACAAAGCAGCAAAGCTTTGTATAAACTCAGGTCAATGTTCTAGCTTTTAATTGTAAAATGTTGGCATCTACACATCTGGGAAGAAGACCTGAAATTCAAGCAAAGGAACAAAATAGGTGCCTGGACTCTTTGATACTTTAAAAATATATTGGGACTTGATTATTTAAAGGCACGTTCCCCTTTTTTGGCGTCCTCTGGAAATTGACTTCATCTCCCAGGTTTCGCACAAGCAGAAACCACCAGCTGGAGACAGAACTTCTTTCCCCAGATGTTCTGCCTGTTTGGCAGATGTTTTCCTTACTGTTTTACTGGCTCCCACTACAGATGCCGTCGGCTGAATTTTGGGGAGATGGCTTCCCAGATTCTTTTAACCAGAGAAGCCCAAGTTGCAACATCCTGACCGCTATTTCCCTCCGCTGTAGAGTTTTCTGTAGAGTGGTTGTGGAGACCTGATTTCACTATCAAACGTGGTCCTGCGGAGAGCCTAAGATCAAAACTCTGCATATGCACTGGAGCTTCCAAAATATCACCGCGTCTACTTGTTCTGGGTTCTTGAGGGGACAACAACAGCCTTCATCTGCTCTACTGGCATGTTTTTAGGAAGTAAGTGTCAACCCTGAAGCTGGCCTGACCGAGGAGGTTTCAGCGTTGCCACAATGGTGCCGAGGAATAGGGAGGGTGGGAATAGAGATAGCTGGAGTTTTGTAGCCAAAACAAAATACTTTCCCCTGGGAACCAAGGTCATTCCCACGGGGGGCTGAAGAGAGGGCATTAGACAATGTGACTGATTATTTGGGGAATTGGGGAAAACTTTTGCTTTTAATTAGGTGAAAACCATGGGAACCTTTAGCGTTGGTTTTCACCAGTCTAGGCCAATATGATATATCCAATAAACCTGTTCTTTGAGGAACCTACCTGCCTCGGAGTTCTGTTTGCTATGGGCGTATTACTTGGAACCCTGACAGTGGGGGCTTTAAGATTTCTATTCATCCAGGATATCTACTCAGTTCTATACTGAAAGTATCAGCTAGTTTTCATCCAGGTCCCTCCTGCCAAACCAGGAAATATCTGAAAGGCCATTAAAACACCTGAAGATAAAATAAAAACTGAGAACAACTGAATTCATAGCTTTGTTCATTAGGACATTGGCCCAGGGGTGGGATTCAAAATTTTAACAACCAGTTCTGTGGGCGTGGCTAGGTTGGTAGGTGTGGCTTGGTGGTCATGCTATTGGATGGGTGTGGCCAACTCAACATCACTCACGTCGAGGCACCCACCTCCTCGCCTGGCCTCTCATGACTGTGGGGATGCTGCAACAGTCATAAGTGTGAAAAATGGTCATAAGTCACTTTTTTCAGTGCCATTGTAACTTTGAATGGTCACTCCACACATGCAAAGTACCAGCAAAGGAGGGGGGAAAAACTCCAGAGCGTTTCCTGAGTCAGGAAGTCTAGTCCTGCCAAGAATGTAATAAGGGTTAACGGAGAGAAAGTTTCTGTAAGCAACACCAGAATGTTTCCTTCCTGCCTTCCTTGCAGGATTAGCCCAGTAATTTCTTCCAACAACCGGTTCTCCGAACTGCTTAGAATGTTAACAACCGGTTCTAGCGAATAGGTGCAAACTGATAGAATCCCACCCCTGCATTGGCCAAACCTTGGATGAGAACATGTTTTAATAAACAGAAGTCAATTCTAGTTTGTGGCATAAAACTCCCTCCATATGAGCGATCCTACGAATCATGCTTTTTAATATTTTGTAATGCAGTTCTGGAGTCAAACACTGGGTGCCAAAACATCGGAGAAAGTGTTAAATTATGAATTTTAATGCAGTTTTATTTGAGATTTAGAAGTTTAGAGCTAGGCTAAAATTGGATGGACCAGACTGAAGATTACACACTAAAAAAAAAATCAAAAATCAGCACGGGCTGAACAAAGGCAGCTTATCCATTGGTAGAACGTAAAATGGGTGGGTCAGCATTCTTCATCGCACAGCTTTGTCTGCAGACTTTAAAAAGCCTGGGGAATGAACTGATGTGTGTTTCTCATCTAACATGCAAACTCACTCCCATTTATATCCCAAATCATTAGTAAACATTTGGCGGAGCCCGTGAACTCTGAATAACTCTGTGATTCTGCAGAGCCTCATGGCTCTCCCGCTTCTCCCCAGTGAGATGTTAGATGTTTAAAGAAGCCAACAGGGACCCTGGAGGGGCAAAAGCCAGCCGACTGGGGTGGATGCCAAGGCCTGTTTGCCAGCTGCTACCCAGGGAGGATAACCCTCTCCAGAATAAAGAAAGTTCTTCCCCCCCCCCGCCCCCCAGTGAATCTATGCCAGAAAGATAAGATCAGAATGTAGGAAAAAGAGAAAATAAGTCCAGGGTTGTTTTTTTTTGCAGGAGAAGCTGGAATAAGCCCGAAATGCTGAGATGGCTAGAAGATCTTTTCAATCAAGGCTCCCCAAACTTGGGCCCTTTAAGACTTGTGGACTTCAACTCCCAGAATTCTCCAGCCAGCTATGCTTCTGGGAGTTGAGGTCCACAAGATTCTGGGAGTTGAAGTCCACAAGTCTTAAAGGGGCCAAGTTTGGAGACCTCTATCTTCAATGGTGAGTCCAGGGGTGAAATTCAGCTGGTTCGGACCGGTTCGAGTGAACCGGTAGTTCTGGATGTTAGTTGGCCTCACTCGCTGACCCCTGCCCTAGTCTATCTTTTATTTCCTTGTTTTGAAGCCCAGCTGATTTTTGTGGCACAGCGAATTGCTGTTTTACTCACCAGGGCTGCAGCAGAAGGTAAGTTTTAGCTGAAAATGGCTGCTTTTAAAACACTGTGCGCGCGTGCAAAGCGCACACTCGCCAAACCGGTTGTTACACCGGCTGAATCCCACCACTGGGTGAGTCTAACATTGATTTATCCCTGTATCTCTTTGTTCCTAGGAGGTCTGCTTTGAAATAAAATTCAATCCAGTAGTTGTCTTATTCTCAAGCTTGCTCCCGTTCCTACATCGGAAGCCTATCTAGAAAGCAGAGAAGTTTGCCTCCACTGCAAATGTGGAACTCCGCAGAGTGTTGAGTAGGTTGTTCTACTTCTCATAAAAGATATGAGATTTCCTGACAGGAAGAACAATTAATCAGTGGAAGTGCTTCCAGAAGTGGTGGGTGCTTTATCATGGAGGTTTTCAAGAAGAGACCGGACACAGTCTTATACATCCCAAGCAAGATTCCTGAATCCAGTTTATCCTTCTTGCTCCCAATCCTGTGGATGGGGAATCGGTGCTCCCCTGCCCAATCTTGATATACCTGCCGGCAAGGGAGCTAAAGTTTGAAAAGGGACAAAGCCAAGATGGAGGACGGTGAGATTTGCATTTCTCTCTCTCTTTTGTTTCAAACATTAGCAAAGGCAACAGAAGATGGGAGATTTGGGATGGAACCGAAGTAGGGAAGGTGCAAACCTCCATCAATTGGCCACCTGATATCTGATAAATGAAGTTTGAGACGTCAAAGCCCATCCGCCCTCAATGAAAACCAACCCTAAAAATAGATCAAATCAAGATTTTTTTTTCTTTTCATGCAAGCAGACAACCAACAGATGGAATTTTCTGGCGTTTTCGAGCCAAGGAAAAATTCCCCCAGAGTGCCAGAACACAGCTGACTCCCTTCCTTCTGGGATGAAAAAATAAGAGACGCCATTCCCCGAAGCAAGAAAAGCTGAAAATATTCCGTGGTAAACTCACCGCCTGCACAAATGCTGGAAGGTTTTGCAGCAAGGATTTCAATGCAAGATTTCTTCAGAATCTAGAAGGCACAAGAAAGAATAACACGGTTTGACAACCTTGTGTGCATCCAGGTGAAGAACTCCCAGTGTCGCTCAAGGCTGAGATATCTTTCTTTCTTTCTTTCTTTCTTTCTTTCTTTCTTTCTTTCTTTCTTTCTTTCTTTCTTTCTTTCTTTCTTTTTTCTTTATTTCCTTCCTTTCTTCCTTCCCTCCTTTCTTAGAAAAACTTTATTAAATGTTAAAAAGATATATACAAAATACAAAGCATTTCATTAAAAACAAAATAAAAGCAAAAACATATACATTACAAATTAGTTAAGACGGTGCTTTCTTATCAAACAATATTCTAATACTTATTTCATATATCTGGTCAGTACTCCCACTATATCCTCTTTATATTCTTCCTTCCTTATCTATTTACTCGCTGGTTTCTATTATTGATCCAATTATGCCACTTTTCCCAGACAGTATAATTTTTTGAGTCTTCCTTTTCTTTTAATCTTAGGGTAAGTTTATCCATTCAGTGCAATCGTAGACTTTTCAGATTATTAAGTTTTCTACTGGCATCTGATCACCCTTCCAACATTGTGCAAGCGATATCCTTGCCGCAGTAATTATATGTAAAATTAAATATTTTATTTCTTTTGCATATTCACCTTTTATTATTCCCAATAAAAAGATTTCTGCCTTAAATTCTAATTGAATGTTCGTAATTTCTCTTGGATGTTTGCATTTTTGTCTGATACTTTTTACTCTTCGGGCAAAGCCACCAAGCGTGGAAGAAGGTACCCCTTGTTTGTTTTCATTTCCAACAAATTGGGCTTCAATTTGGATACATATTGTCTCATCTCAAAGGGGCCAGGTACCACCGATAACACATTTTGTATTGATTCTCTTTATCTACCATCGATTTCGTTATTTTGTAATTTTGTAAAAAGGCTGGGATAGCTTAACGCCTAAACCAAAAAGGACTCCGGTTAAAGGAGGCAAAAAGTCAGAAGACCTGGAGAATGAAAGGAGAGGTCCCATTTTTAACAATCTTTCTTGTTACCGTCGTTAGGTGAATCATTGCAGCTGTTAAGTTAGCAACACAGTTGTCAATCTGGTTTTTTTGCTGGTCAGAAAGTCACAAAAGAGGATCATGTGACCCTGGGATTTTGATCATGTGACCCTGGGGGTGCTGCAACCGTCATCAGTGTGAAAAATGATCCTGAGTCCTCTTTTTTCAGTGCCATTGTAATGCCAAACGGTCACTAAATGAGTTGTTGTAAGTCAAGGACTGTACTCTGGCAACAATTCCCATCCCCAGCCTTCAACACTTGTGTGCAGAAGATGCAGGTGAAATAATATATTTTTTATAAGTCTCCACAAAAGGTTGAATATGGGAGAAAAGCAACAGATTTTTCTAACTATGTTTCCCCCAAAACAAGACCCAGTCAGAAAATAAGCCCTAGCACGATTTTTTTCAGGATGCTCGTAATATAAACCTTACCCCCCAAATAAGCCCCAGTTAAGATCGCCAGCCAGCCGGATGCATTTAGTACCCCATTTTCCCCAAATATAAGACCTAATGCATCTTTTGGAGCAAAAATTAATATAAGACCCGGTCTTATTTTGGGGGAAACATGGTTAAGTAAGGCCTCATATTCGGGAATATCCTTAAAAGGAGAATGAAGAAACGGAAAAAATTAGCCAGGGTGAAAGAGGAACTGCTGGGAGGGGAGCCAGCCACGGAGGGAAGAAATGCCATCGTAAGGATCAAAGTTAAGCAACTAGCAAGCATTCTAGATTCTTTCTAGATTCCTTAGATGTGTCTAGGTGTGACTCTCAAATCAGGTTTAATTCCTATTTATGCTCTCTCACAAAATTAAACCTGGTGCAAATCTTTAAGGCTGAGCCCAATGTAATCCAGTCTGAAAGATATAAATCACCGCAGCTTAAAAAAAAATGAATTTGGAACTTTTGCTTAAAAAAGCAGGATGTAAACATCCAGAAAGAGGCATCCCTGGCTTGGAGTCAGTGACCTTTGAGTGAGTCACAGCATGAAGACTTCTGTTGCGATCCTCCAGAGTAGCCAGCTAATTTTATTTAAGTGGCCCACGCATCCCCACAATCTCATTCCAGCTAATTCTTTCCAAGAAAAAGAATGGGAAACTTCCTGGGAGAAGGGTGAAGAGTTCCAAAGTCCTATTTGGATTCTGCAGGAAGAAATGGAGGTACCTATGGCTATTTTCCGACACTCGGCAGAGCTGAAATAACTCACACGTACGCATACCTCTTTGCTAGGGAGGGCCTAAGAGTCAGACATAACCCACAATGACGAGGGTCTTCAAACTTGGCAAGTTTAAGACTTGTGGACTTCAACACCCAGAATTCCTGAGCTAACATGACTGGGAGGAGGAGGAATTCTGGGAGTTGAAGTCCACAAGTCTTAAAGCTGTCAAGTGTGAAGACCTCCTGTGCAATGACATCAGAATAATGGCACAGCGGCACCATTGAACCCCCTACATAGAACTCAAGGGACACAAGGATGCTTTCTGGGTCATCGGCGTGATCAAAGGGCCCCCATGGATGCAGGTGGGAGCTGCCAGTGGAGCTAGCCCTAGGTGCAATGTGGACTAGCTCCGTAGCAATGGTAGCACCTTTTGACTGAAACATAAAAATAGTACCACAGCTTTGCACTGTAATAGCCGTAGTCCTTAGACTTATATCCCGCTTCACAGAGTTTTTTTACAGCCTTCTCTAAGGCCCCAACAATCTGGGTCCTCGTTTTACCGACCTCAGAAGGACGGAAGGCTGAGTCAACCTCGAGACTGGTGAACTGCCGAACTGCAGCCAGTAGCCAGCAGAAGTAGCCTGCATTATTGTACTCTAACCACTGCACCACCAAGGCTCATATGCTTCGCCCCTGGGGGCATGACACACACACACACACACACACACACACACATTAAGGTGGGGTTTGTTTCAGTGCCTCTAAATTTCCTGGTTCAGTCTTAGGCTCCTCCATCATGGCATTGCTGGCCCCGCCTGCATCTGTTTTGATCTGCACACTTAGAATCAAAAGACACATGATGTAATTTGCTGATGATAATCTTGCCATTCTTTATCTCTTTGCATTCATTTATTTCCCACCATGATTATTGTTGTTGCTGTTGTTAAAATAACTGGCTTTTAATTCACAAAAGGGCGTTTTAGGGGTGACTCTCACAGAGGCAAGAACTGGTGCAGACCCAGAGAATCTGCACAAAGAAAACCACAATTGGGGACACCACAATCACACACTCACACTGTTCTCTGACGATGCCTGCAGAGTCCACCTATTCAACACTCTTCCAGCTGTTTACAAAAGCTGCTGTTCTTTATGATTCTTTAGGATTTCAGTCCATCTTTGCCCCCCCAAATATTGATACATCTGGTACCTTTTTGGCAGAGAAGCCCTTTGATACCCTGCCAAAACAGACAATGATGAATCAAGCACCAGGTGTAGCCATTTTCTCCCCACCTGCAGAGGTCACGCTTTCACTTTCGGGCTAAGTAATGTTTGCCATCCAGCCATTTTTCTTTATAAAAAAATCTCTCCAATCGTCCTCTTGTGAAAGGTTACCAGATGAGTCAGAAATCAACCAAACCTGGTTCATGGGTTCTAGAGTGAGTTTTCTGAGCACGAAATCTAGTGAGTTGCTGCTGGAAATTGAAGCTATCAGAAATACAGCCAGCGAGACAAAGAGAGAGGAAATACTTCTGGAATCTATTAGGAACAGCTGTAGAAGGAATGCAAGTCTAAAAGCTCAGAATATTTTTCTCTTCGCACAATACCTGGTACCCTAAGCACATTTGTACGTTCGGTTAGAAGAAATTATAGGGGAGGAAGGGAGGGAGGAGAGAAGAGAGAAGAGAGAGATTGTTCCTGATCCAGAAGATAGATTAGAGCAGTCTCCAAACTTGGCAACTTTAAGACTTGTGAACTTCAACTTCCAGAATTCTCCAGCCAGCAAAGCAAAGCTGGCTGGAGAATTCTGGGAGTTGAAGTCCACAAGTCTTAAAGTTGCCAAGTTTGGGGACCCCTGGATTAGAGTAAAACCATTTGTACCTGGAGGGATCAGGAAAGTAACTTCTATCCCTGCTTTGTAAATGAACATCAAAGTCCATACCAATACAACTGGTGTTGGAAAGCAATTGTGTTTCTTTCGTCGCAGTGGGCTGCAGATATGCAGAAGCTCTACCGTTTCTTTGTTTGGCCTGTTAAATCTCATCTAAAGTGATACGGTGGGTGAAGAACCAATGGTCTTCTGAAGTGGAAGGACACTTGGATTCCCACCGTGGTCGAAAGGCTACAGAAGTCGGTGGAGTTGGCAGAGATGGCTAAATGGACCATGTTACTCAAAGAAAAGAATATAACTACTTTCGCTGCTACTTGGAAACCGCTTCTGGACTTTGCATTTGAGATGGGTCCTCTTAGTTGCTTCTGTCTTTTTATCTTTTGTTCTCTGATCCAATGAAATGGTCTTCCAGACGCTGCCAAAATGCAACTTCCTTATCTAACGGGGAGGCAAACTGGGAATTTCAGGGATGTGACATTGGGAGAACGCAAAGTTCTCCATCCTGGTGATGTAGGAAGCTTCCTTCTGGCTTAGCGTCACTGATCCAATCTTCGCAGATGTTAAGGGGAAGAATTCCAGAGGAAAAACCTCCCAGAATCTGATCTGGAGAGGCTCTACAACGAAAGCCAAATTCTCCTGCGTGTCAAGGATTTGCTCTCCCGTGGAGGAAAACCTGCCTGGGGTTTAGCAACAGTTGAAGGCAGGATAACTTTGCAAATACACAGAGAGACACACCACTCACAAAATGCCTGCAGACAGTCCGGTTGACTTACAAAAGTTTGTTTAGTGATTGTTCAAAGTTACAACAGCACTGAAAAAAGTGGCTTATGGTCATTTTTCACACATGACTGTTGTAGCCTCCCCCACAGTCCCCATATTTGGATGCTTGGCAATTGCCTCATATTTATGACGGATGCAGCACCCTGGGTCACACGATCCCCTTTTGCGACTTTCTGACAAGCTGTTGTGGTTCGCTGGCAGCCGATGCAGCCGGCAGCGGAATTGGACAGCGGGGAAGAACAAGGACCAGTCCGGGAGTCTGGAGAGGACTCGGGTGAGGGTCCTGCGTCCGATAAAGAGATGGGGCCAGGACCATCTGGGAATTTTGTGCTGGGAGCAGAGAGGCAGAGGAACAAGGGGAGCCTGTTCCCATTGTGCGTATGCACAGAGCTGCTACAAGGCAACAGCAGCTGAGACAAAAGGGGTGACTCAGGAGTAAGGCTTGGAGGTGATTGCCCTCCCATAAGGTATAAAGGAGATGCAAAGGTGATGAAACCTTTGCAGGAAGCAAAGTCGTTCGTTCAGTTCAGATTCATTCTTGAAGCTCTTTGTGCTTTGGTTGGTTTTCTTTCTAGTTCACTTGATACTTCTGTTATTGGCAGCACTTCACAGGGAAGAAAGGTGGGTGCTTATCTCGAGGGACTGTTTGAGAATTCATTACTGGCTGGGAATGAAAATAATTCCCAGCGTTGCAATAAAGCAAGACTTGTTTTTAAAATAAGCCTGTGTGTAATTATGGTCTCGGAAGCCTTGGTCAGAACACAAGCAAAGTCAACGGGAAAAGCCAGATTAACTTCACAGGGCTGTTGCTAACTGAACAACTCCAGCAATTCACTTCACAAATGTAGCAAGCAAAATTGTAAAAGGGGAGAAAATCACTCAACAAGTTTCTCATTTAACAACATAAACTTTTGGGCTCGTCGTAAGCTGAGCTGTATGGGAAGGTCCTTCAGTAGAAGCTATAGAGAAAGGATCAGGCCAGGGGCCTCCATATGTGAGGTCAAAAAATGGTCAAAGTTGCTGGTTTTGATTGAGCCAGTCATGGGTGCCATCTTGACTCTTTTAACCCCCAGGCCCTTCGCCAATAGCTCTTCCCAAAGACCTCACACTGCTGCCTGTTCAGATCTAGCTATAACAAAAATAGAAGGGAATATCTGCACCTCGGGGTTGAATGGTGCAGTCCATCGTGTTCTCTGGACTTGGTGGTTTTCTCGCAGGTGTTTCATCCCCGGACTAAGTAACATCATCAGTGCTAGCAATGACCCCCAAAAATATTGTGGAAAATTGGCAAGACCCACTAAGACAGTACTGCACTTCCCTGTTTTGGGTGATTTGTGAGATGCAGGATTCATAATGGTATATAATTCGCCCTGCCCACTGAATAAAAGCCGCGGATTCTTTTTGCTTTTGATAAATCGTTCTTTGGCATTTCAGAGCTATCATTCAGCCCAAACCTCTCTTCCACCCGGCCAAGCCATTCAGTTCAGTGGCTGCTACTGGTTTCTTTCTAGGAAGCCCTTGAATGTCCCAGCACTGATAAATATACTGTTTCTGGCACAACAATGCTAATTTCACAACGTCATGGAAATGAGTACAGCGGTAAGCAAGACTTACGGAGTCTATGATTCCCTGGAGCGCTTCGAAACCATCATTCACAGGGAAGACGTGATCCTTGCTGTCAGCGATCCGAGCCAACTGGTTTTGGAGGGGGGTGGGAAAAAGTGGGTCAGCCAACAGGGACGCAAGGAAATGCTGGACACACACAGTCAATCAAATCCCAAGAGGCAGATGGCCATTGCACAAGAGGCGGAGACAATCGTTTGCCAAGCTTTGTTGACATTCGTGTTTGTGTGTGCCTTTTGTTTCTTCCACGCTCATTTTTTTCTCAGGATTTGAACTCATCACTACAATAGGGGGATTATAGTTTTTCTAAATACAATAGTGGGAGGGTGAAGGGGAATTAGCAACCCCACCCTTGAAGCAGAGAACTTGAATATAATAGGACAGAGTTTTGCAACTTCAGCAACTTTCAAATGTGTGGACTTCAGGTCCCAGAATTCTGCCTGGGGAATTCTGAGAGATGAAATCCACATCTTTAACTTAAGCTGCTGAGACTGAAAAAAAAACTAGGATAGGATCCTGGCTGAACACAGACCATAGTTTAAATTATTGCAGGAGAACGAACCCATGGAGTCTTTAGAGGCTACTTCCAGACTCTTTGGCAGTTGCCTACAACCAAAATTCTTTCCAATCTAATTCTCAGAGTTTTCTTTAGCAAGATTTATTCAAATAGGAGGAAAGGGGTTGTGAGAACTCCAGCAGTTGAATGGTTTCCTACTGAAAGACGTTTGGATCGATTTCATTTTTCTTTTTTTCTTTTATTCCAGCCATCCTGGGATCTGTAGCTATGTCAGAGCTTTTTCACAGGAAAAGGTGCCCCAAATCAAGATGGTGGCCGTGTCATGGCGGGAACTGATGTTACGCTTGTCAAAAAGGGTGGAGGCTTTGATGCCATCATTCTGGCCACTCTTTTGACATTTTGGAGCCATGTCCTGCCAATAATCCTGGCCTTCTGGCTCCCTTGAAAGCAATTTCGAATGAGGCTGAAACAGTGGTGGTATGCTACCTGCTTGGACCGGTTTGGCTGAACTGGTAGTCTAAAAAAGCAATCAGCTGAGAGGAAAAAGCTCAGGATTGGTCCTCCCACCGAACCCTGCGCCTTTCCCTTCTTTATCCTCTCAGCCTCCGTTGGTGTGGGGAAAGCTGTGTGCACATGTTAGGTGCGCAGGTTAGGTGCACACATGCACCATCACCAAACCAGTCGTGGAACAGGTAGGATCCCATGGCTGGACTGAAAGCTGTTACCCTTAAACCAAGCATTGCCCAAATGCAAGAAGATGGCGAATTACCTGAGTTTCATTGAAGTCCTTCACACCAACACAATACACCGTTGCTCCCAGCTCACGGGACCGGTTGGCCTTGAACGAGAGGACAAAGCATTGGTTGCACCCCAAACAGCGTAAAGAAATTTCGTCACTCTTGGATGGGGCTTCCTAAGAACCATTTTATCTCCTGGCCCACCTCACCTGCCTGCCTGCCTGCCACCTCAGCAGGATGGAGTGGGGTGGGGGGAACCCATCTTCAACCTGGTAGATTTGCTTTTCTGTTTGGGATGTAACCCATAATTATTATTATTTTTAAAAAAGAGTCCTGGACTGAGGGAAGGAGAGGGAAATGCAATTGCTTCATCTTGGTGTCCACCTTCCTGGCCTTCCTTATAGCGTCCAGGTAGTTCTCAATTCACACTTCCCAGTTCCTAGCCAGGTGCCTTAACCACAACACCAAAGCAGCTATGCAAAAATATCTCTTCTAATTTCACCAAGGTCTCTTTCCCCAGAAAAGAATCTTCTGATTGTCTGCCTCCCCTCCTTTTTTTAAAAAAAAGTTTACATTTCAAACATATTTTATTATTTTAGCTGGCAGGGATAGCTGCAGTCTGTGGTTCATTTGATTCTTCCCCTACTCTGTATTTTTCCATTTTTCCTGCTTGGCTACCCAATTTCTTAGTAGCATTAGTAGTAATCATCATCATCATCATCATCATCACAACAACAACAACAATAAGTGCCTAGAGACAGCAGAAGAGAAGAGAAGAGAACTGGAGAAGATAACAAACTCCAAAGACCTACAAATAGAAATAGAACGACTATGGCAAAGGCAAGCAAGGGTGGTACCAAGAGTCATAGGCGCCTTGGGTGCAATCCCAAAAGAACTGGAGAACCACTTGGATACCATTATTGGCATTGACACATTTGCCACCAGTCAATTGCAGAAGGCAGCTTTAGTTGGAGCCGCTTCCATCCTGGGGCGATCTCTGTAACACCGTCAAACATCCAGATTTGCCTATCCCAGGTCCTTGGGAAGAACTTGATAGGCACACAAAAGATGCCAAACCCAGTCTGAACATCTGGCTGACTGTGCAATGAATAATAATAATAACAACAAAAACAACAAAAAAAAGATAAAATTTAAAAAAAATAAAAATAAATAAAATAAAAAATAAAAATAAATAAAATAAAAATTAAAAATAAATAAAATAAAAATTAAAAATAAATAAAATAAAAA